TCTCCTAGGACCCGACACCGAACATGAAACACGAGGCCGCAGAGCTCCGAATCCCAATATTCACCAGGAGAAAAGGCCACAAATCTGAAACCAGAGCGACCAATAACAAGACCTCTTCACAAATCCAGGGCGACTGGTCTCGTCTCCGCCCCCTCCTGTAATAAAGGCCGCTCACTGCTGGCGGTTATCGCGCTCACAGGTCTTAGTGTTCTGGCCTCACAGACATACAAGGTATTGACTTACCTACCGGCCTTCTCAACATTGACCACAAGATGGCGCCGCAGAGAAACATTCACAACAAAGGGGGCGATTCTTGCTCTATGGTGAGTTCCAGCAAGAAGAAGAAGGGAACACGTGTACTCATGGGGGACTCAGACTCCACCTTGAGTCTTAGGAGAGGAGTGTCCAGCATCGTCATCAGCACGCCGGGAGGAAAACGCCGACATTCCCCATACGGAGCATCGCTGGTGACCACGGACTCGTGTCTTTACATTTGTATTTACATGTTCAGTGCCGGTTGTATGCTGTCTTTGTATGTTCTTCGTCAGCATCCTGGTGTGTTAATAAAGTTTCAAGATTTCATCCCGTCTGACTTATTACAGAATAGGAGGGATCACCTATGTGCAGACCACACGGTAACGTGTAGCGGGGACACAGCACTTAGGGTGATCTGTATGCAAATACATCCTGTCCAAGAACCGCCCACTCCTCCGGACTGACACCCGCCCATCAAGGCATTGTGATATTTGCATAACTCCTCCCAAGAGTACGCCCACTGCTTGTATCATGGTTGAGGGTTCTTGAGAGGAGCACTGAAGCAGGGTAGGGTTATCCTCCGTTATACCCTAATAGATTGTAAGCTCTTCTACCTTCTGTATCCTCCGTTATACCCTAATAGATTGTAAGCTCCTCCCCTTCTGTATCCTCCCTTATATCCTAATAGATTGTAAGCTCCTCCCCTTCTGTATCCTCCCTTATACCCTAATAGATTGTAAGCTCTTCTACCTTCTGTATCCTCCGTTATACCCTAATAGATTGTAAGCTCTTCTACCTTCTGTATCCTCCCGTATACCCTAATAGATTGTAAGCTCTTCTACCTTCTGTATCCTCCCGTATACCCTAATAGATTGT